AGAGCAGTGCATGCATTTTATCCTGAAAATCATTGGATAAAATATAGAAATAAACCCTATAGCAGGGACCAGAACCCATGTCTCCTCAGTCTTAGCTTTGTGTCTACTTAGTTACTACACAACAGACTCCGTCTTCCTTTTGCTTCCTTCTGACATCATAAATCTTGCTTTCCTTTCTACACAATATCCCAGCCCTATCAGAAAGCAGCCTCCTCAATACCAGTTTAACCTACAGCATGATGGCTAGGGCACTTGACTGGAAAATATGGATCCAGAACCCTCAAAAGGGTCTAAACCCATTCACTTTCTGGGTGAGCACTCTAACCACTGGATTATTATATAGAAGACAGGCAGTGCCACTTCCTCCAGTGCCACAGTTGTAAACGCAAAACAGCTGCAACCACATTTTGTAAGGATCCAGAATATGCCTACCTAACAGGCCCTCGGAGTGCTTGGGGGGCCACTTTGCCTACTTCTTGAATATCAGCGATGCTTAGCTGGACGTTGACACATAGCCACTCAGGCTTGGGCTGTACTGGGCATATTCAGGTTGCTAGGAAATTTTCTAATAACAAAGGTTGAGTTAGGTCTTTTAGGGTCAAGGGCAGGGTTAGGGTTAGGCAGCCACTGATTACAATGTTTATGAATCACCATTTTGGATTTGAATGGACTTTAGATGTTTAAGTCCTTTTTTTTGGCATCTAAGTTGTTTTTTATCCCATGATCTTAGGAAATAACTCCCCAGTTCTCCACTACTTCAGCGTTATGTAACTCTGTGCAGGATTGGCTCCTCAGTCTCACCATTCCTGAACTGTAAAAAAAATGAAATAATTAGAACTAACCTGGATATAACCTATGTAAAATAGCTAAAATAACCTCCACAAACAAGTTTCTGGTAGCACAGTTTAACCTGTATATATTAAAAGGACATATTATAGCTTATTTCATTTGTCAATAAAACATTTCAAGTGACTAGAAAAACACTGTAATAATACAAGGATTAAAAGGGCCTACAACAGCCTGATGAAATAATATGTAGCTGAAAATTATTTTTAATATGTTTAGGGGTCACAGTTTACAAAATATTTCAATCAGGAGAGAGGTTATTCATAGAAGTGCAACAGTGTACTCGATGCTATATTTGTTGAATGCCTAAAGCTTGTGACAGTTTTCCTAAATGGCAAGTTTTTGATTTGAAGTTGCAAAACAGTGGTTCATTAACTCCAAACAGGATATTATCACAGTAAACTAAGCACTGTAATTGGGCATTTTTTCCTGCAGTTTGGAAGAGATTTGTACTAGCTACAGCAGCTAAGAATGGAATAGTTTTCAACCAGATGTGTATTAGCATGTCTCTCAGTAGCATAATTTGGTTGGTATTATAGTCTGTTGAGAACACAGTGTTGGACTACTTGAGGAATTACAGAAGGCAGAAATCAGTCTATGGTAAAAGATTAAGTGAACATTTAAATTTAAGGTACCACTGAATACTTAAAAACAGCAAAACAGCAACAAAACTCCAAAACTTAATGCTATACAGTAATTTAATCAAAATAACCACTCAAAACTAAGGATATGCAATGCTTAGTGTTAACGATGAGTACAAAATTGCTACGTCTCAATGAAATCAAAGCATATTAAAATTGTTTTGTTACTGGGTTAGAGCCTTTGCCAAAGTAATTGTAATCTTTTAAGCAAGAAGGATAATTGGGAACTTACAGGGATGTCAATACTGTATCTCAGTTGTGATTCCAATCAGAGTATGTGTCCATGGCTCAATGCAGCAGGATGTAGGGATACCAGAGCTCCAGAAGTGTGTGGTGATCTTGCAGGTGAGTACAGTGATCCATTAACATAGTTTTACTTGTTCTAGAACCTGAGCTAGTATTTCTGCACAGTTCTTCACTGTGCTGTATAGATATATGAGCTCACTGAGTTCTAGCTTGCATATCTAGAATGTGCTCCATTTGTTGTAAGGATATACCATAAAAGATCAATTAAACCCCATTTGCTCATGACATGATACACATTTCTTAGTTCTACATTAACAAGCTAAAATACAAAGTCCAGTGAAGATAAGTAGAAAAAAAGATTGGACTTATTCATATACCGTACCATAGTCGGGTATTTTCTCTGTTTTATCTAATTACGATAATCTGCTTGTAAAATCAGCAGTAGTATGGGTTCCAAATGACCTACTGTATTGGATATTACTATCAGAAGGAGGCAGCTGAGGGACAGCTATTTGTTTTTGTCTTTTTTAAATATTGAATAACTGCCTGAACCGTTACATGTATGATATTTAACCACAGTATTAATAGAGGTACATTAGCAAGGTAACATTATTTTCTTATATTATGTACTTATATGACTCTTAGCACCTGATTATTGCTCAGTCTTTAATGCATTTATCCTCATAGAACCCCAGTGAGAGACTTTTTATTCTGATTTCAGAAACAGGAATAAGTTAGTTGCCCAAGGTCACACTGGAAATTGTGATAAAACAAGGACTTGAATGCAGTTCTCACAAGCCCAAGACTTACACCAGAACCATAGGACAATCCTTCCTGTCTCCAAGAGGCCATGTTTCATGGATTTGCTAGGCCAGGGAAATAGTTGGTAAAACCACTAGTCTGGTTCAGCTTAGATATGCCTGTATTCCTCTTACATTTACACTGCACATCTGTGTCGAGAAGCTAGCCCTACCTTTCATAGTATCAGTCAATACCCCAGACTATCACTTAAGATACGACATATTATTGTCCTGAGAATGAGAAGGAAGGCTAATTTTTCTCATTGGTTTTGGAGGGAGAAAGAAGAAAAATAGCTGCCTGTCTACATTAGGGAAGTGACATGGTTACTGTAGCTTGTGGTTTGTGACTCAGCCCTCAACCTTCAAAGAGAATTAATGGGGCTCACAACAACTGGTTAATATCCTAGCTCCCTGAATAGACTTTGAGTCAAGCTGGTCATTTTGTTTAGGAGGAAAAACAATTAAATTGCATTTCAGTGAATTTGTTTTTATTTTTAATTTTTACCTCTAATGGTTAATGTGCAGAAGATGGAACAACAGAACAATCCATCCTAAACTTGTAAAATTAATTAACATTTGAAAAATGCTGTAAGAACCTTGAATGAAAGGTACAAAGCATTATCATCACAAAACAGAATAACCTTAAAAAAAGAGCTTCTTGAAGCAAAACAACATGAGAAAGGGACTAATTAGATGATTCAACACAATTTCATATTCCGTCAAGAGAAATTTTAATATCACTTATGCATCTTTATATGTCTATGCATTATAGTAATCAGGATTGATGTCAGGCAGGACAGTCATGATACCGAGGTCAGTTGTTTAAGCATGTGAATGAGAGGTACCTCTGATAGTGGTTCTTTGCTTTTGCACTGCTCTGTATCCAACTAAGTACAACAGCAACAGGAGGTTGAGACACTAGGCTGTGCAATCAGCTGTTATAGCTGTAGTGGACGGGAGGCTCCAGGCAGCATCAAAAGAATCAAAGGCTATGAGCAGACTCTGACTATGGTGCACCCAGGCCAGGAGACAAAACATAGGGCAGATAGGAAACAGTGAAAAATGACGGCATAGAGGTCACAAATGAGGCAATCAGTGGCAAAGATGAAGGAGGTGAAAGAAATAGAGAACAACCAGAAAGTAAAGAGACTAGATAAAAACAAAAGGAAGGCAAAAAGAGGGCAAAGAGAAAGAGTGGGAAACACTGACTAGGAGAAGTGAGGCAATGGGATCAGTGTAATAGAAGAAAAAGAAACATACTAAGTAGGAATGGATGTAGTAAGAGGCTGAGTCCCTCTCACTTGGGATATGCTACAAAGGATAGTATATTGCACCCACATACTTCTGACCCAGTCTCCCAGACACCATAAATCCTGTCTGTGGTACTAGACCTACTCATGCTGAAAAGCATGGAGATAACATATGGCTTGGGGTAATATAGACACTCCAGTTGCCTTATGAATGGCATAGCAGACAAAACCCCCTTTTTTTTTTAAATTGTCTGATGCTGACTGCGAAAGATTAATTTGACTTTCTGGGTTAGGAAGAAAACACCTGGCAGGGAGCCTGCTGTAGTTGTAGCAAAACATCACCCATTTGATAATGTTTGTTGGTGACTTATGCAGGCCACAATCCTCTTTTTCTTACTTGAAACAATAATCCAGTTCTCTCAGTTCCCAAATTTTCTCCACATGTCTTACTGCTCTCTACTAATATCAAGTGTCTGTAGTCACCATTAGCTGTAAAGAACATAAGACATGCCATAGATCCCTTTAATTCATTACTCTGTCTCTGACCATGGCTAGTAGTAGATGCTATACAGGAATGGCATAAGAAACAGGGCATGAGTAGAAATCTCTGACTCTTGCTATACCTTTTCAGTTACCAACTGCAATGTTTAGGGATGTCTAGGGTCTGAGGTTACATTCCCAATTGTTGGTTTTATAGCCCCTACTGGACTATCAAAGCATAAAACTGATGCTTCATATAAGGTCCCCTAATCTAAGGCAGCTGTTAGAGACCATTTTAGGCACCAGGATATCTTATCCTCCATCATTTCTTTCATGTAGAGTCCAACAAATGAAAGAGTGTGAACAGGAGCATAGTGGTCCTGGCTTTCAAGCAGAGGGATACTTTAAAGGACAAAGCATTTTCCTAATAGGAAAATTGTTAGCAAACAATAAAAATTGTTGTGAAACAGTGACTCTTTCAGGCATATGATTTAATTAATAAGCCTAATTTACATGTGTATCATTTGCCATAAGCATACTTCATATGCTCCAAGAAGAGGGCCTTTTTCTAATTAAATTTCATAGCTTAATACGCATCTTATTTTCCATGCTCAAAAGGAAAATGCTATCAAGTGTTTTTACCCAGGATATGATGATAAACAATATAAACTCTCCATACAGTATAAAGCAGAAATGAAAATATCATCAGTTTAACACTTTTGGGACATATTACTTACTGTGGTGGCACAGTGGATGTCTTTCCATACAGTGGCTTCCCTGGAGAGATCAGAGACTTCAAAAAGGTTATCAAGAATAACTTCCCCAATCATGTCATGTCTAGAAAATCTGTCAAAATCATATACACTGAAATGCAGTTTCCTGTTGCTGAGTTGATCATAGGCTACAGGAAACTGAAAGATTTCATCAAAGACAGGATTTAAAGTCTTTCTGTGAACCCGTGTCTGAAACTTCTTTTTCCTATCTGGAAGAAGGTAAATCTTAACGTAGGGGTCCGATGTTCCTGTGAAGTCTTTAGCAGGCAGATCTAAGGCTTTGATAATTGTAACAACAAGAAGTTCATTTTCATAATCATACCGGAGAGTAAAGTTAAGCTTTCCACAGGTTTTCACATCTTCTTTCTGGCCATCTGAATCAACAGATTTCTGTTTGTAGAGTTCTGGTTTTATTCGCCCAATGCTGGTCGTTGTCTCTCCCCTTTGCAAAATCGGATCGGTCCCCATGTTAAAATCAACACTGGAAACTTGCATCTGCCTTGGCAAGTGCCTCCTGAAAGAATTGTGCCTGCACACACATACACACACATGCGCGCGCACACACACACACACACACACACACACACACACACACACACACACACATACACACACAGAATTAACTTGGGTTATCTCCATGAAATGTCTGGATTGTACCCAACCATTTTGCAAAGTTTACATTGAAAAAGCTTAGGCGTTGGGTTTTTTTCCCCTTAAGCAGTAAAACAATCTTGATATAAAAATGTCATGAACTGCATACAATAAAATGTTGATATTTAAATCTTTAACCCATTTTTTTTTGCAATACACATATCCACATGCCTTATTTTGAAGAATGCACAACTGAAACTGCAGTAGACATTTTGGTAGTCAGCATGAAACAACTCAAATGAGGCTAATGGAATGAGGCTAAAAGGCCATTGTCAATTAATACCACTTTTGTCATAGAATGTGTCCTGGCATCTTTAATAAGCACAAGTGGCCAGGATGTCAGTTTTTCATCATAACATATAGACTGTGACTTTGGCATCACCCCTGCAGTGTGATTAGAGTGTTACTTGACAGCAAAGAGTACTACCTACAAAATCTCTATCAACCCTTCCTCTCACTCTTGGGTGTTCTCTATCCCAGTATTTACCAAGCTCAAGTTTTTGAGATCTAGAAAGACCATAAGTTGACATGCCTACAGGTTTTGAGCACAGCACTTTATTATTATAGGTCCCAGTTCTACAGATGTTTTAAGTCTCTGCTGGACTGATAGCACAGCTGATTTCTTCACTAATGCTTTTAACAATTCTAGTGGTTTTAAATTTTAAAGTGTTATTAGACATTGCTCATTTTTGTCTGTGTCAACATTCACGTAATGCTACCAAAATAACGTATTTTATTAACATAAAATAAAACAATTTGTACTTTGCTATAATTGAAAATATAGAGAGTGCACTTAACATAGTTTCATAGTTTCTAGGGTTGGAAGGGACCTGAGCAGATCATCTAGTCTGACCCCCTGCCATGGCAGGAAGAGCACTGGGGTCAAATGACCCCAGTAAGGTGGTCATCCAACCTCCTCTTAAAAACCCCCAGGGTGGGAGCCTGCACCACCTCACTTGGAAGCTGGTTCCAGAC